TATGGCCCCGCAGCCCGGCTTCATCATGCAGTAAATTAAAGAAGTTGCAACTCAGAGAGTGCGGTGTGTGTCGAGGACTTTTCACGACTGGAACTCCCCTGAGGGCAACATTTTTCTGGCGTCTGCCTTCTTGGTTTACAACCAATCACAACACAAGAAGGCAGACCTTTACCGGCTGGTCTGGTCACGTTCAGCTGAAACAGATCTCCAATAACCTCTGTGGATTTGAGCTTACCTCTCACTCCAGCACTCCCAAAAAATAAATACATAAATCGAGACGGGGCGAGATCAGCCTTGACTCTCACTTAGCCTGAGTCCCTTTGGTGGACGAGCCCGAAACAGGCTGTGGTGAAAAAAGTGTCAGTCTGTGGGCTGCTGAGCTGGGACTTGTCATTTATCAGCACTTTGTCTCCAAGCAGAGCCCTCAGCCAGTTTCTCACCTCCCTTCAAACATGTTCCTCAGGCTTTTATGGAACACTAAAGTCATACAGAAAATGGTTTGATTAGTCATTTCCATCTGCAGCATACTAATTTACTGGTAACATATATGCAAGCAAGGAGAGACCCTACTTACTGTGCAGTTTTGATGAAAAAATAATTTCCCAGAATATATTCAGGAAAAAACTGCATCATCTATGCTATGATTTTTTAAAAAACATAAAAATTCACAAGGTACATAGAAATATTTAAATTTCAGCATCTTCTTATGATATAGTACTAATGGAGTTATGTTAATAATAGCCAGAATAGACTGATTAACATGTGGAAAGGAGGGTTTTGATTGGTGTGTCTCTTCTTCAAAATGTACACGTGTCTAAAGAAAGTCCAGACCCGCCTGGTTCGAGATGGTTGACTGGTCCATCTCAGGGCAGAAGTCTAAAGGGAGGTGAAGGAGAGGATTAGTGGCTGAACGCTTCTAATAGATGAGTTGGCCTGTAAAGCCGCACCTAAATGAAGGATTTATGTATAGCCATACAGTACACTTAAGATGTGTGTTGTTTTCTGTGGGTTCCTCTTGTAATGCAACACTCCTTTATGATGTCCATTGTCTTTAACACCCTCAGTTTGGGGTTGGAAGTCATGCCAACAGTTCTTTGGATTTCATACATACTGTATGGTTCAGTTCAGTTTTCTGTCACACTGAGCACCAAAGACTTACCACATCAGTCTGTGTTAACGTTTTTTGCTACAATCTTTTTTTTTTTCTTTCTTTTTTTTTTTTAATCTTAAGTGAAACATTTATTAAGATTATCTACCATTGTTCCCAACATATCTGTTTGTGATCTTGAGCTGAAACACTCTTTTGTAAACATGCAAGCCAGATGTCTTCAAGTGGAACTTGGAACATCCAACTGGCTTTGGGAGGGAACATTTTTTTCTGGTGCGATTTAAAAAAACAAAAAAAAAAGTTTTTATGTCCCCCTTCCGACTGCTGTCGCTGTGCACTGTTGAAGAGCCACGAGTGCCTACACTTGAAGTGACGTTGATTGCGTCCTGCTGACTACTCCATGTTTCTCTATGCTCAGCTCTAGATGCTAGAATCCCCTGCCCCAACTCTAGAGATAAAAACTAGCCCTACATTTGATCTTCTCCTGCTACGGATTTTTTGTTCCACTAGGAAGTTTAAAAAAAAATCTGACTGTGAGATTGACAGACTTCATGTCCTTACCAGTAGCAGGAAGCTGATACATAACATGTGCCAGAGAGACAAGAGAAACCCTCAGGCTCTGTGCCCAGTGGTGCTTGTGCTTCTCTTCCATTGCCAGGGGTGAATTCACAGACTTTGCATGTGATGTTGTTGCTGTCTTTTTTTAAATGGGTAAAATAACAGGGCTCTGAAATGATTCGTGTCATCGCTGTGATTATACTTCACCTCAAGGCACAGAAATGGACAAAACATACATGTCAGCAGGCAAAACTACAGAAAAAGCTGAAACATCTTGATGAACCAGCATTTCTAACAACTAACAATGGATAATTCTCTTGTGCATGGCCTTTGCTCTTTGTGTTCAGTTTAAAGATTCCTCTTTAAAACTTTATTTTTTAGCTGTTGAGCTGCTTTTTATTTTCGAACTGCTCCTCTGCATTCATGGTTTTATATGTGGTTGGTGATAATTTCAGTGTAATGTTGTAGGTATGTACTTATAATGAATGTGTCAGTGGAATTTAATGCTATTTTCATTCAATAAATCTCAATTTTTTTATATCTATTTTCATTAAGGTTGTTTATTATCACACTGAACACATCTGACTTCTCCGTCTATGTCTTCAGTTGTCTTATACACTCCACCTTCCACAGGAAGATACATTTTTTGCTTTGAGCAACATGTTTTTGAAAATTAAACAAGACAGCCACCTAGTGTTCAGGGTTGGTAATGAATGAAAAAAAATCACTAGTAGTGTGGGGAATAAACCTGAAAGTGATTTCACAGTGCTCTGGGTTGTGGTTTGAATGGCACATCGTACAAAGGGAGGTGCATTGCTTCGTATTAACATATCTGAAAGTACATATCTATGCTCTCAAAGTTACAACCATGGTGACATTTCAAGTTCTGTGTTCTTTACAAATGGGAAAATGCAAAGTACCTGAGTGCCAAGTTAATTTGGAAGATTGGTCATAGATGAAATCCCTAAAAAGTCATCTCTGTGTATCAAAGTTACACATTTACAAGTCTTTCAATGAAAACAACACCTTCCTGCCCTTAACTGGATTGAATATAACCATATACTTGCCTCCGTTAGAATGTGCAAACCTATGAAGTCTCTCCGCACCCCACCTATGGCGCCGACTGCTTACTTCACTCATAATGTGTGATTTAGCACATAAAAACACCATACGGACAAATTAACAAGAATATAAAAAATGGTTTTCATTAGAGGAGGCCCTTATTGTGCTACATTAAGGTAGTGCATTAAAGAGAGTGGCACAAGCCACTTAAAGGGTGTAAGAGTTTTTATTTTTATTTTTTTTCCAAAATGTAAAGTCTATTATGCAACTCTTGTCTAGTGACGGAGCCTGATAATCTTTATAGGGGTGGCCAGACTGATACCATTAGTCACATTGGGGTGGCACAGAAAATAATATCTTCTTATTTTTCTATGTGCATGGAAAATTGCTGTAGGCCCAGTGCTCAAATTTTTTATTTTTTTTTGTTCCATAATTCCTGTTCTATGAGTATGTGCATGACCCTTTAACAGAATTTTACCATTGGTTGTGTTGGGCGGACAGAGTGGTGGCCACCCATAGTCACCCCTTGGTTACAGAGGCATGCCCACCTCTAAGGGTCTTTTATAGAATGGATGTATTACATTTTTCTAGGTAGTGAAAACGCCACTTTTTAAGTATAGTTTCTTAGTTTTCAGCTATCAAAATGTAGTTAAATCATTCAAATGAAATCTGATTTGAACATACTGTGTCAGACTGAGCAGGAATCAGGCAAACTCTTGAAAAAGCCACAAACAGGAAGATGACAAAAACGCAAAGACTTTACAAACATTTTTTTTGGCTACATGGGACTTAAAATATACCATATTATTAGATATATCAGCGACCACATTGGTATCGGCCGATATTAATGTTTTTTTCCAATATATTGGTATTGGTCCGATTAACAAATTTAGCCGTGAAAAAATGATGGTTGTCAAATATTAGCGCCTTTGTCACTGCATTTGATATTGCTGCTA